TTGTATGCTACTATGGTCATTGTTTACATTATTATCATATATGTTGCTTGGAAAACCAACTTACGTGGTAAGCAACCCTTTTAGGCGTGTATGGAGGAAATGTACACTCCTTTATGCATGAATGAGATACATGTTTGATAAACTAGATCATCGATGCCATAGACATTTGCTATGTCTCATAGAGTCCTTAAACAACAATGAGCTATCCTTACTTAATTGATAAGTATAGTGGCATGAAACAACACTTATTAGCTATTCCTAATTCATATTGCATGTGGTGAAAGCTTGAGTAGGATGGCGTTAGTTGAAGGGATAGTGCATCACAATAGGTCGATGCATGGGTGCATCCTATTGATGAGAATGTATGCATGTTCGTCTGGATGACGCAACCTAAACAATGTGTTTTATCTTTCTTTTCTTGCTTTATAATTTCAAGTCTAGTCTAGATAGTATTGAGTCAACCATCTACCAGGGAACCTTAACCCACCGTATTTATTTTCCTTAAATTACTATTCGGACATAGGTTGCTACCTTTGAGTAGTTAGTATCAAAAGACTATGTGGAATACGACCTAGACATACCTAGGATTGCTATTACTCGATGGCATCAATACTATAGATTTCATATAAAGTTTTTGGGGACTTTTGATAGTATTTTGAAAAAGCTACTCATCTTATATTTGATTTGACTTCAAGATATTACGCTCTAGTTGGTTTTATTTTGCAGATCTTGAACTCACAAGGGAGAGTGGCATTGCAGAAGCTACAAGAAGGAGATACTATAAGAACTTGGAACTCGATTCATCGATAATTACACAAAGAGATATGGGTTTCCTATCTCTATTCAAGTACTTTAACCCAAAGGCATCAAATGTCGAAACAAACAACATCCATCCGACATCAAGTGTCAAGACAAGTCCACCACTTGACATAAGAATGTATGCAATAGTGAAGTATCAATTCTCCTGGGCAAATGAAGATGATATTGGTGAGATGAAGCAAGTTATTGATACTAGTGATGACAAGATCTAGGAGTAAGAATATACCATGGAGTATGAAGCCATCGTGGACAAGAGCTAATCAATGATCCATCTAGAACCTCCTAAAGGCATCAAGGTTAGCATCGATGACGAAGGACTTAAGCAACTGCTAGAAGGTGTTCAAAACAATAAGGATTGTCAAGAAGCTGATGAAGGGCGTCTTAATGAGATGCATGAAGGATTTGGAGAGATCATAGACCATGGAGATCTCGTAGACGATGGAGAAGAAGACCATCTCCATATCACCCCATTTGACGAGGAAGAAGAAGAGCTTACAACTAAATCTTCAGAAGAAAAAAAGGTGCAAATGATGAAGAAGGTTGCAATCCTGAAGAATGTACACTAATCCAAACTTGTTTTTTTTTAATTCGTGGGAAGGGATTAAAGGAATCACACCACTTGAAGGTTTTCATCACTTCACTTCCTCTATGTCATCCTCTACATCTACAATGATGGAAGAAGAGCCCATGAGTAGGAATCCCATCTACGCTAGACGATGATGCTGTACATAAATTCGTAAATGAACCAAGCATTGGAATTGAAGGATTTCTTCATAACCCTGCTACATTCCCTTCTTAAAGTTTAATGAAGAAGTTTGGATATTCTAACTTTGAACAGGATGATGTGAGGGTGTAGATTGTTGAATTCAGCAATTCCAAGGAAGCTCTTCGTGGAGAAATGGAGGATGCCCTACCAAAAGTTAAAAACCATGAAAAAAATTGCAAAATCTTGGTGGAGATACATCATAGAGTCAGTCCAGATTTCTTTCGACTCCTTGAAGTGGATCCATTTGCAACATTTCTAGAGATACATAAGATCGTAGCTTCTTATCTACCCAATAAAGTGGAATATACAAGCTCTTCCTTGAATCATTATCTCTACAAAAATGACAATGCCAAATCAAAGTGTGGGTTAAAAGGTGTAAGGAGGAGACTAAGATGGCATCTTCTTCATTGCCTATCACCAAACCAAAGCGAAAGAAGGATGACATTCAGTTGGAATGTGCACGTTTGACAATGGATTTCAAAGAACCCCTTAGTTGGGAATCTTGATGAGCTTGAATTTGCCTAGATCAAAGGTGTAAAAAAAAGCACTTCATGGGAGGGAACCCATGTCTGGCATCCAACTTAAGGATGTAAAAGGAAAGTGTTACTAATAAAAAAAATCCAAATTTCTAAACCATCATCATTTGCATAACAAGCTTTTATCTTTATAAATCCTCTTGATATGAAGGTCATTACCTACTACTCTTAGATATGAGATTTTTTCTTTCGGTTATCTTTCGATTATTAATACGATATACAAGGACCATCACTACAAATGGCACTGCACCCTTAATTGTTTGTTGAACCCCGTGAATAGGATATAGGAATTATTGATTTCATTTTGAATCGATATTTGATATTTCTACTTTTGTCAAAAAGAATTCAAATGCATAAAGGTGGGGTAGACCCAATGCCTAAATTAATTTTTAGACCCAATGCCTTAATTAATTGTTAAAGAGATTCCTTTGTATAAATAATTGTGAAAAGAATCAATGATTGTTTTTTATTTATTTTTAGTTTCATATTTATGTTGAAGAGGAGCACTAGCTCCCCTAAGTTTTGTTGCTTTTACAGCTTTTGTTTTATTTTCAAATCCATGAAAAACTAAAAGAAAAGATGAAGAAATGGAGCATGGCAACCGAATGGTGTCCATAACTTCTTTATTTGTCGTATCCTACAAGGAAAAGGAGAGAAAATACAAAAAAAAGGAAGAAGCCACAACGGCCCCACGTCGGTCGACAACGTCATACTTTTCCCAGCTCCAATCATTTCAAAAGTCTGTTTCTTGCAATGAGAAGGAAAGAAGCCACAGCGGTCGTATATGCCATGTCATTGTCGATGACCCATTCCCCCACTCGAAGAAAGAGACCATATGATTGAACTCGAGCAAGGAAAAGGGTGGTGGTGGGCACCATCACGAGGACGCCGCTCTCCTATTAAAGGGATGCAACCCCTCTTAAAATGGTGAAGTGGTATCGTAGGAAGAATGTGTCAGCTAGATGTGCCCTTAAAAGATATATTATGAAGGCTTTCGACAGTGTTGACTGGGATTTCCTAAATTGTACTTTACTGGCAATGGGGTTCCCTGGTAAATTTGTCACCTGTATCAAAGGGTGTTTGGAGTCGGATAGCTTTACTGTGTGTATGAATGAGGGTTTAGTAGGCAATTTCAGGGCAAAGAAGGGTTTAAGACAACGATGTCCCCTGTCTCCATATTTGTTTGTTGTGAGTATGGAGGTCCTCACTTGTATGTTCAATAGGACAACAACTAGATCTATTCTTCCTTACCATCCTTAGTGTGGAAGGATAGGGCTTACCCACTTGTGTTTTGCTTATAACCTATTAATATTCACTAAGGGGTCAGTCGAGGGAGTGAAAGTGGTGGCAGAGGCCTTGCAAAAGTTCTATCTCATTTCAGGGTTGAAATGTAACCCAAGTAAGAGTGTGATACATAGTGCAGGTGTTTTAGATGAATTAAAAGGGGAATTGGTCAGGCATTATGGGTTTAGAGAGGGTGTTCTTCCTATTAGATACCTCAGACTTCCCTTGACAGCAGGGAAACTCTCTTCAGACGACTGCAAATGTTTAATAGGTAAGATTACAGATAGAATCCAGGGGTGGCAACCAAATCTTCTTTCTTATGCAGGAAAATTGGAATTAGTTACTGCTGTTCTGGCCAACATGACACAATTCTGGATGAATGTCATTCTACTCCCAAAGAAGGTAATAAGAGAATTGAACAGCTTTGTTCCCAATTTCTTTGGGGTGATATGGAGAAGAAGAAAAGGGCAAAGGTTTCCTGGAAGACTGTTGCTCTTCCTCGGAGTGAGGGTGGTTTAGGCTTCAAAGATCTCTGCTCGTGGAATAGAGTCTGTCTAGCAAGACATTTCTGGGGAGTGCTCTCTGACCAAATAGACTCTCTGGATTGCATGGCTGAAAGAATACATACTCTGTAATGTTAGCATATGGGAAGTGTAGAGATGTGGCTCGTGGGTATGGAATAAAATTTTAAATTTACGAGGATTGTTTGAAAGGAAGATGGTTTTGTCAAATCAAGGAGTCGAATGGGAAGGAGCACTGATGAGCAAATTCAACACAAGTCGTGTATGGCAAAGTATCATACCAAGGCATGAAAGACTTGAGTGGGCCAAACTAGTCTGTAAGCTAGGGATACCTGAGAACTCGTTGTTAAAATAGTTGGTCCTTATAGGCAGAATTTCCACCCTGAATAAAGTGGAAAAATGGTGCCATGAAGTGCAAAATATGTGTCCTCTCTGTGGTATGTCAGGGGAAAAGCGGGAGCATATCTATTTCTCGTGTACCTATGTGGAAGAGCTCTAGAAAATTGTGTTCCTAGCCAGCTGGCAGGTTCCTCTACAAGGTGATCTGCACCAGATAGTGCCGAGTAGCAACTCGAAAGTTGGGGAAGTGTAGAGTGGGGCAAGTTCTTTGAGTAAGGTTTGGAGGGAGAGGTGTAAGCGGCTTTATGGGAACAAAACAATGTCAGTAGAAGCCTTAGCTGCGAAGATGCAAGGGGCAATGCAGACCAAGGAACAAGGGGATCAACTGTTTGTAGTTGCTGCACTAGGAAGAGAATTGTGGTACAAAAGGCAGATTTAGTAGTCCTTGTTTTGTTAATGACCTGAGTTGTTTGATAGGTTGTCTTAGTAGTCTGGTTTGCTGGTTTTGTTGATTCTGGTTATTGGGAAGTTTGTTTCTTTTAGGCTAAGGCATGTACAGTTTTTTATATGTACATATGTAAAGATTGTATTGGATGAATAAGAATACCACTCATTCATAAAAAAAAAATTATATAAAATCTCATCTAATATATGAGTAATAACATATAACATTATACTAATATAACATGTCGTACTTGGATCCAACAAATAGTGAAAATTACACGCTTATACAACATCAATGTTCAACTTAGAATTCCTAATATTGGGTTAAGCGAAAAGAAAAACAGTAAAGCAGGTGCATTTCACAGACCAAAGGAAAAATTATGTCGTTTGACCTCCAATTCAATACCTTGCAGCTTATCAACCCGACGGATGTGTACGACCCGTTTTTCTCACCGTATCAGGATCAAAGCGGGCCAAGCCGTAGGTTGACAACCTTCCATATAATACAAAGCTTCTACAACAAGAAAACCTGAAACCTCATCATTTTTATTGAAGTATTCGAATAGCCTCAAAACTACATCGAGAAAAAATTGCAGGCATGAACAAAACAGTAACTTTGTTCCGTGACGGTTTTCCTCAAAATATACACTGAAAAATCACAGCACTCAAAAGCCAAAAAAACATATACCAACATCCCAAACTTGTACACACACCGACCCGAGCATACATTTCCCCACTCATCATCTATGCAATACAAAAGAGCACGCGAATATGCAAGTAACACACCTCCTCTCTCGTTTCAATCATGACGAGTCGAGCGCAACTGCAAACTCAACATACAGCGAACTACCACTAGAACGAAATCTCGCAAGGTGCGTGAAATGTCCTTCCACGGCAGATTGCTTCTAGATTTTCGCCGGCATAAGAACAAAGGGGCGATACCTCCACGCCTGTTTCACATCAGCCAACGCTCACAAACATTAAGCAAGAGATAACAGAGAAGCATACCAACAACACTTAGAAGACCCAAGCTCGTAAGCAAGTTCATTAGAAAGGGTTCGAGTTGCTTTTACCCATACCAAAGCTCAATGGTCGGTTTATTAAAAAGGGGCAAATCAAGCCATGTAAGCCCCCACTTTATGCAACTATGCCTCAGAAATTAATACAAGTGAATTAAATTAATTACCAGTAGCGTATAAGGGTACTGAATGCGTTAAAAAGCCCCCTGCAGCGACAACCCAACGAGTGTGAAGTCGAAGCACGAGAAGCCTGGCACTGTCTGGAGTATCGAAATTTGAGCCGTTCGCATTTTTCACTGGCGCAAACTCTTCTTCACGCAGCACCTGTAGGATACACAATGCAGCAGCATGCAGATAAGTAGAGGGACATCAGACCACAGCAAACTAAGGTGAAGTGAAGTGATGTTGGCACCTCGAAAAGAGCAGTTGAAGGAGCATATGGAAATGCATCAAATATGAATTGCTCAAGTTTATATCCCATTGTGAATCCATGAATTGATGGGATCTTTTTCTCTGCAAGATGGTAACTGCACTAATAATGTGTAAGCTACAGTATACTATGATCAGTGACTGGTACCTTGGAGAAACATTAATTGACCATATGACACAATCCAACTGGACCTAACATATAGCAAAGAAGAAAGCTAAAATTCTTACGTGCTATCTTTCTCGAGGCCATTAGCAACTTGATTAAGAAAATCCAAAGAGAACATGTGCAGACATACCTGAAACCAGGGAAAAAGGTAAAATTTTCAGGCGGTATCATTCCAGAAGATACAAAAACATCAGCTCACAAATAGATATGTACTGGACGCATTCATCAAATCAAACTTTCCAGTATACATATATTTTAATTTCGTAGAGCAAGGCGAAAATGAACTCATACATTACTCCAACAAAAACGAAGGCGTCCAGTTTGCTGGTTCACTGCTGAAGCTAATGACTGATCCAACTCGCTGTACTCAACCACAGTAAGAGGTCCACCTTTCCCTCGCCTCACAAATACACCCACCTTTTCTTGGGGATAAGCCTGCGTGAAATGGTTATATGTACTAAAGGATCACATTTGCAGTAACTTCCCTCCATGGTACCTAATCCACATGCTTATGAAACAACAAATTATACCTTGCGAACAACTTTTGCGGCAGCAGAGACTCCTTTATCCATGAAATATCCGACAAAAGTTGGGTCAGCAACACGGACCTGTTTACAAGACCCTAGCCATCATGCTCAAAAAGAGTTCTGAAGGTTCACCAAATGAAAATGAATGATAGGGCAAAGAGACCATATCTCACCAATGCATTATCAACTCCATAGCAGTCAACATATTTAATCCCTCTTGATGCCATATCTTCCAGCAATCTTGATGATTTAAGAGCTGAAGAAATAAAAGAAGGAAGCAAGTGATGATGCAAAACAGTAAAGGTGGCAAGGTATGGAGAGGTCTGCGTGGGGCTGCAAAATAAATACCTGAATATACCCCTCCATTCCCATCTGGGGCCTTGGACACCTAAATTCAGGACATAAAACCCATATGATTCCCAGTATGGGGAGGAACATAGAACTCAACAAAGTAAAGCCAAGAGCCTGAAACTGCAAATGGTGCTAGTATTGACAGAGAATTTCATTTCTTTATAGTGCACTCCTCTGTAAATTCATGAATATAAAAAAAGGGGCCAACCCTGGACCAAATGCTCTTCATTCTTCAATAGTAAAAAAGACAATTGCTAGTTCACGCCAACTATTTAAGCACCACGAGCACTTGATGCTCCTAGTACCATTTCCGACCACTAGGTGCATGGCGCGTGTTCATTTAAATCCTAATTTAAAGAAACATTCAGGTACAAAGGAGCTTTTGTTTTGGAAAAGTGAAGACTAAACAAAATCTGTAAACCATTCTTCAATGATACTAATTGACTATAGCTGTATACGTTAGCAAACAGACCATAGAGCAGGCAGGACATACCTTGAATGGAGTCTCCATGATAAATCTACCATCAGTCGAAACAGAAGGTATGGTGCCTTGCTGGAAGAAGGTGACCTAGATTGGGGAGATGTGAATGTGAAAGGAGGCAACTCAAACACACTATTGCCAACATTTGTCAAACAAATAAGCAAACCAATTCTCTTACTTGATCTGCTTCAAGGCCAAAGTACTTGTGGCTTTCAAAATATTTCCGAGTGGGCTCATCAGTGAATGGACTCGTCATTATGTACCAATGAATTTGTGCTGAGCCTCCTGAACCTGTTTAAGAGTAGTACTAAGATGTTTCCCAAATGGTGTAGAATAATAGAAATCTAAATAATTTAAACTGACCTTCAGTAGCAGCTTGAGCAGCTAACCTTTGGACGCACAGAATTCTCTCAGCTTGAAGTTGAAAAAGAGACTTCCCAGATGGAAGTCCAATGTCTGAACAAATATCCCAAAGCAGAAAAGAATGCCTTCTTTATCATCAAATAAAACAAAACAACTAGCCGTAGTTCGACAAAACGAAACAAGCAGCCTTATTTTTCCTTCAGTCATTTCTCTTTGACAAATAACAACACAGAAGGATCTGAGAATCAGTCATTGAGGTTTCTTGGTCCAAAGTTCAAGTAATAAATGGAGCAACAAATTTCATTCCTAAGGTAAGTCATAGAATCCTCCTATAAGCTACAAAACATCTTCCCTGCTGCACTTACTGCAGTTTCAGTAGAGATGTATTATACATCGTAAGTCATTGAGATAGAAAAGTCTATGCAACTGTTAGAATTAGTTTCTTTGCGCTTGAATTAAGCGGGTCACTTGGGAAATCTCCATAAGCATCCTCCTTGGTTCAATGGTGCCACTTACATAAAAATGCAATAGTAAGAAACACTGTTTAAAACTAGAAAGTTACTTACTGAAACATCCTTTTGGATCAGAACTTCCAAGCCGTGTTCCCTGGATTTACATTTAAACAGATACATAAAAAGATTAGTTGCACATCGACATAGCAGAATACAGTATCACCAATTACTTACTCAAACATATTGCATAACATTCTTAGTTTTCCTTAACCAATATGATGTGTATGCAATTTACCCAGATGAAGACAGTTGCAGGATCCTGATTACAGCAGGAGAAGAAATAAAATGTCTTCGATTACAAACGCGTACATACATACACCTGAATTACAGATAAACCCAACAAACAGCACCATCCAAAAAACAATCTTTCTGGCATCTACCAGCTAATCATGGAACTAATTCTGTTGCATTTGAATTAGTTAAACATATCCCATCGGCAGATTAGCGAAAGTTCGAAACCAGAAAAGAAACATCAACAGAAGAGAAAGGGACCTGACTAAACAACTCAACAGCAACTTTAATAAAGCAAAGAGAATGATTAATGATGCAGCAAAGCAATTTGTACTGTTAAGAGAAATGGATAGATATCAATCGCAGAATTGTCTTGGAGTGGCCATCAAGCCTAAAAGTGATATCATAACAAAATTATGCAAGCAAGCGGTGTAAAGATTCCCTGGGACAGCTACCAAACGCCATCATACAACCCCTCCCTCCTAATAAGTTATGATGCCTTTTCTCAAGTTTGTCAAACCGAAAAGTAGAGAAGCATTTAATTCTAGAGACCCAGCAGCAGCAGCAGCAGCAGCAGCGTTACTCCAGCTTATAAATCGACGTACTAATTACCCAGCAGAAAAAAGGTACCTGACCGCCGGATAAAAGCAGAACGGCCAACTTCCCGCCAGAGATTGCTTTTAATCCCATCTTCCACCACCGCTCTCTATCTTCCATCGACCTCTCCTCTACCGTAGACACACTGTTCTCTGGCACCGGCTCAATGGCGGCTACTGGCAGAGCTGCATTCATTCCATTAATGTCAGAAAACCAGGACAAATCCAGTACAAAATTTCTGACTCAGTCCCACAAAAATTCCCACCCAAAATCCAGAATTGAGAAAGAAAGAGAGAGAGAGAGCAAACCCTGAGATCGAAGTGAACATCGGATTATCCGATCCAGCCTCGGAAGATCTAGACCCTGCAATCAATCAAGAAGCAGGTTTCAAACTAAGGGAACGTAACCCACCACCATATCCTAACTGAATTCCAGCCTCCATTTACGCGCTTTAAATGCAAAACAGAAAGCGGGGAAATTAAACTGAAACAGAAATTTGAATGCCGGCGGGCAACACAAATGATATTCAGAACTTCCGGAACATAAATTCAAGTCACTATACGAATTCGAATACCGACCAGATCAGCGATGTAGAAGTGACAAACAACCCTTGAAGATCCAAGACGAAGCAAATCGTTCAATTACTTGAGGAGCGAAGGAAACCAATGAACAAGCAAGCAACCGACAGTTTTTTTCCTTCTTTCTTTTGGTTTACCAACCTCGATGTCCTTGACGAGGAAGTCGCGTTCGTCGGCGGAGAGCTCTTCCCAGAGCGCGAAAACATCTTCCTGGCCGTAGTCCTTGAGGCGCTCGAGCAAAGCCTGCGGTGGAGGCGGTAATGGCGAGGAGGAGGCATTGCTGTTGCCGTCGATCATTGTCGGTTCCCTCATTTCTTGACCGGAGACAAGAGAGAGAATTCAGAATTCAAGTTCCCGTTAGATCTCTGTGGCGGGTTGCCGTGTGGGTATTGAATTTGTCGTGTTGCTCTCTCGCTCTCTCTCTTCTCTTTCTGTTTCTTGCTTCACGAGTTTCTGTTAACAGTTAAAGAGAGGGAAGCAGCCCCACAGGCAAAAAGAGTGGGGGGAGAGTGCAGGGAGTTGGGCGAAACAGTAGCGAGGAAGACAAGAAATGAATCAATAGATGGGCAGAGGGTCAAGTTAATTAGCAGCTGTCAGAAACCAGTTGCTAACTAACCGGTCTGATCTGCTCATTTACCCGTTTGGGTTGCGATATTTTCAGAAATAGTACTGTTAAAAAAACAATTCCAAAAATAATATCCAATCCCAAAAAATTCCAAAACAGCACCATTTCTCAAAAATCGCTACCCGACCCAGCAATTTACACGAAAACCGCAGGGTAGGGCGCGGTTTTCAATAGGTAGGGCGATTTTCATGACCACCTAGGGTCGGACGAGTTTGGTCCAAAACTGCTGCCCCACCCAGCGGTTTGGTTGATATAATTTTTTTTTTTTTGAAAAATCCTAATCTATATGGAAACTTCAAACAAACGTATCTTTTGTGTTAGACTATCCGATCGTAGCTTTTTTTTTATTTCGCATAACTTTTCGAGATGTTGTGCCTTCGTCCCGAAAAAATGTCGTTTGCTTCCTCGAACGAGTTTTTTTCCGATTTCGTCAAACTTTGGACGACCATAACTTTGTGCTCCAAAATCCGATTTTTTTTTTTCATTTCGCATAACTTTTTAAGCACTACAACTTCTATCATAGACAGAATTTCGGAATGTAGGTGGATTTGTGAAAAGGGAAGGTAAGTTATTCCCAAAACCATGTATATCCAAAAATAATTCATGTTTTGAAAATTCATTCCTAGTAAAAATTGTAGTCCATAAAAGTTATGCGAAATGAAAAAAAATCATGACATTCGAATTCTGGAGCACAAAGTTATGGTTGTTCAAAGTTATTGAGGATTTTTAGCGTTCAAAAAATAAAACGTTGTCAATATATTATTGTTTCAAGAGAAGAATTGTAGTTTGGTGGTGTAGATGTTGTGTCAAATTTAGTTAACCTATTTATTATCTAGGTTTGAACCACCACCCCCCAACATGTTACTTTTTTTAATCTCTACTAAATAAAAAGATTTAATATGAGATAATGGTGTTTTGAACCTAGGACTTCTTGCACACAATAAACAGCTAAACCAGTTGTGCCAAGACCACTTAAGACATTTATGCGGAAATATATATATTATATATATTATGGGTTAATACCTTAGTTTGGCCCGTGGTATTGAAAATTGCTACTATGACCTGAACTATGTAGCAAACTTCCAGATTTGGCCTGGAGGCGGGTTTGACCGTCAAAACAGACGGTCAACCAAGTTGACCGTTAGTCAATATACACATCACCTGCCATGTAGACATTAAAAATTATTTTTTTTTTCTTTTTACAAAAAATAAAAAAAATTAGTAACTCTAAAAAAAAGGAACGAAAAATAAAAGACAAAAAGCCACAGCCACCCATCCCTATCTTCCCGCATCGATTTTTATCGGGAAATAACCTCCCCCTTTCAGACCCATCATCTTTCCCCAACTCCCTTCCCCGACGAATTCTCTTCGATTCTCCGGCAAATGCAGCGGTGGCCGGTCGGTGAAAGACGCCGCCGTCGCTGATTGTTGGAATCCTCCTTTCCCGACTCCTCCTTCTCCCTTCCCCTTCGATTCGCCTTTTTTTCTTCTGTCGAGTCTTTATGAAGACTTTCTCCAAAAGCGATTCAGTTGAGAGCAACATATGTGAATCCTTCAACAACTGGATATTGCGGTTCAGGTCACTGAGAGTTATTGCAATGCTGGAGGGGATTCGTGTCTCAGTTATGACTCGGCTGGTGAAAAACAAAAAGAAGATGAGTCGGTGGAAGGATAGCTTCCCTCCAGTTGTGCGAGGAAAGTTAGAGAAGGCCAAAGACGATGCCAGAATGTGCACTTCCCGTCCTTCTTCAGAAACCATGTTCGAGATAGCTCACGATGGGAAGGGATTCGTGGTGGACTTGAAGGAGCATACATGCAGCTGCAGGTGGTGGGCTCTCAATGGTATTCCATGTTGTCATGCTTATTCCGCCATCACATATATGAGAGGTAAACCTGCTAGTTTCGTCCATAAGTTCTTCAAGATCGAATTTGTTCGGGAGGCATACAAGTTTCCGATTCCTCCATCTGAAGGGCGACAAACATGGCTTCCTGTGCTTGGAAACAAAGTTTATCCACCTAGGATTAGACGAATGCCTGGTCGTCCTAAGACAAAAAGGAGAAGGGAGCATTGGGAGGTTAAGAGCAGACCTGGCAAAAACGGAGTCGGAGAGGTTACTTCGAGAGAGAACTTAACTGTCCACTATGGCAAATGTGGTGGCGAAGGGCACAATGCCAGGACATGCAAGAACCCGCCACTTCCGCCGAGAACTGCAGCACCCCGCAAAAGGAAGCAACCACCACAAGTTCCAACCACACAAATTCCACCCACCACACAAGTTCCAGCCAGCACACGAGTTAATGACCAAGCTGGAAATGACCATGAGGTAACGAGCTAAAAATGTCACTTTCATTGTGTTTGCAACGTGAAAATTGACAATGTTTGGTGATAACAGGCACCAAGAAGAAGGAAGAAAGGGCGTTGCTCTAAGTGTGGATCCGAGCACCATAATGCAAGGACTTGTTCGATGAATTTTGGAATTCAGGTACATGTTTCTCACCTCAGTGAACAATTACACGAATTATGTTGAATGGTTGTGGAGAGTAATGAATTATGCTGTCAATTATGGATGGATGGATGTGTAGGTTCGATCAGTAGACATTTGACTGATCGAGAAATGCGAAGGGCTATGCAAGGGATAGGAATATATGTTGATGAGAATACAGGGAACATGTACGCTAGGGTATGTCCTGCTCATTCGTGGTTGACATGTTTTTAAGTTAAATTTTTATGATTTCTGAACTAATTATGCTGTAATTCTTGTTTTGCAGCTTAGCACCCGCGTTCCAGGTCCTCGTGGTGCACAACAAACTGAACCAGATCAGCCTCCTTTCAATAGCACACAGCCTCCGACGACTCAACCGGAGACACCTTAATGTGTAGTAGTTTCGTAGTGTAGTTTCGTAGTGTGTTTCGTAGTGTGTTTCGTAGTGTGTAGAACACTTCTTTTTGGCTTGACTCCTTATGTTTCGGATCATAGTACTGAGGTCCGAGTTGGAGTCATAGGAATTAAATTAGCTCCCCCTTTTGTACATGCTCTCGATAGCATGAGCTAATGTGACTGTAAAACATCATTTTGCAACATTCGTATTAATGTCACTATGAAGGAGCTAATGTTAATGTTTAACTTCTTTGCGGATTATGGGTACACACTTGTTCTGCACAAAGTTTTACTAACAGGAGGTTGCTTATTCTTCAACAAACACACAAAGTGAGCTTACAATCACAAACAGGAATTTGCTTGCAAATGAACCCACAATCCTCACTCACAATTGAACTAACACCATTACAATAAGGCCTATGGCTACAAAGACAGCACACACAATCATTCGACTTTGTAGTGCACATATTGCCTTTCTCATACTTTGCAATTCCATAAAAACTAGCTGCACTAATCTCAGTAACCTTCTTCAAATCCTCTAGCATCGCCAATTTCTCTTGTTTCCTCCTATTTGCCTTCTCTTCTGCCTTACGAAGCCGCCCTTCAAGTGCCTCCATTTTCAATTTCATATGCTCATTCTCCTCCATTATTCCATACTCAGATGTACCATCGACCCAACAAAAAAAACGGCAATCTTCCTTACATCTTTCCAAAACGGGCAGGAATAGAACTTCCTTCCCGGATTATCCTCTATGCGAGAGGTATTCACAACGCAGGGAGCATTGTGGCCTTGGCATCTTACCTTCGCTGTGTTCGACGAACCGGAAGCGGAAGAGGCAGAAGCTTGGTTGCTGACTCTACCAGCTCGCCTCGACATTGTTGCTGGAGGCCGCGATAGAAAGAAAGAAGAGCGTTGGTGAGATGGAAGAAAGGAGGCGAGGGAACTGGGTGGAAGAAATGAGGGCGCGATTTTAATTCTCGACGGCGGGGGCTCGTCGGAGAAGGGATAGGGTTTCCCGATTTTGGGTGAGAGGGGAGAGGGGAGGGTATAAATGGTGGCTGTGGTTTTTTTTTTCTTTTATTTTTTGTTCCGTTTTTTTAGAGTTACTAATTTTTTTATTTTTTATTTTTTGTAAAAAGAAATTAATTTTGTTATTTTTTATTTTTTGTAAAAAAAAAATAATTTTTAATGTCTACGTGGCAGGTGATGTGTATATTGACTAACGGTCAACTTGATTGACCGTCTGTTTTGACGGTCAAACCCGCCTCCAGGCCAAATGAGGAAGTTTGCTACATAGTTCAGGCCATAGTAGCAATTTTCAATACCACGAGCCAAAGTAGAAAGTATGTGTATAGTTCGGGCCAAACTAAGGTATTAACCCATATATTATAAACCGGAAAAATTGTTACAAATATGTATATTACAAACCGCCGGGTGGGGGTGCGGTTTGCAACCAAACTGCCTCGACAACATGCGGTCAGCGAAACTGCCCCCTACCAGTGCGATTTTCGTCGAAAACCGCGTGCTATTTTTGGAATTTTTCGGGGTTGGGTGCTATTTTTGTTAATTTTTTTAAAACAGTGCTAGTTGTGGAAAAATTCCTTGTGTTGACTTGAGTTCGTTAGCGGGTTGGGAAACTAACCGGTTGAACCATTAGGTCGGTTTCCTTCTTTGCCGCTCCTTAAGAATGTTCGTTTGCTTGTTAGATTTTGAAAATGAGGGTTTTAAATTTTTAAAATCGTTGGAGTTATTATGGATTTGGAAGAGTCCATTGTTTGTTTAGATATCATGGATTTATGATGGATTTGTCTAACTTTTTGTCCTTTCATTATCAAATTCCAAATGAAATGCGAGATTTGGAAATTCGTGGGGTCCACATATTTGGATATAAAAATATGTGAACTCCACAGATTTGTGTCTTGTTAGAAACCCGGTTACTAGCTATTTTGGGAGTTTGGACTCATTTGTCGGTTTATTGTTGTTTTGAGGACCTTGGGTGTTATTTGTGGGTACTTTCAGATTATTGGGGTATTATCAGTTATTAGGAGACTATCGGGTAGTTATTGGGAATTTATCGGGCTATATATTCTGTAATCGTGGGATTAGTAGGTTAAGCAATTACAGAACAAGAATTCCCTTAACCTAATCTCTCTCTCTCTCTCTCTCTCTCTCTCTCTCTCTCTCTCTCCCTACTCGACAACTCTCTCCCTATTTCCTCCCTAGCTGCTGTCGACCCCTACCCTAGGGAAGCCGACCCTCTTCTTCTTCTCACCAAATCACCCCCTAAACCCCAATTCTCACACTCCTAATCCCCAAATCCCATACAGCCTGTGATTATCTTTCGATCTCTGGATTAGTGAACCCTTGACATGCACGGCTAGATCAAGGTTTCCAACAGTGTTATCAGAGCCTGGCTCGCGCGCGGCTTCAGACGAGATCAAACGAGATGTCTTCCACAGTAGACAAGATGCAGAAGACGCAGAAGGAGACTGTGATCATGAAAGATCACACCAAGCATAAGACATTACTGGGTTTCATGAATAAGATCGCGGACAACCAGATGGAGGCTTGTGAACAGCTGCAGACGATTGGAGCGCACATCGAGCATTCCACCCAACATATTGGAGCGGAGCTGGTGAAGTTTCGCGCCATGATGGAGAAGATGGTGGAGCAACAGAGCGAGGAGCCGCAGCCTCATGAGCTAGCAGAGGAGGCGACGGCGACCAAGGGAACCGCCAGGATAGTGGAGGCAGGCGGCTTGACATCCGCGCTGGTGCTAGGCGGCGAGGAAGGTTGTGGGGCCGTTATGGGAAACCATAGTCATGCAGGCCAAGACAACACCCGGTCCATCCCAGGAGCGGGTCTGCCGCTCTAGCCCACTACCCAGGAAATCGTGGCAGCCCGCGAAAAGGGGAAGGCGGCAGGTTACGAGGAGGCGGCATAAGGGTACGGGCCGGAGCCCTGGGGTTCGGATGGGGCGGCCATTGACTAGGAGGGTGGATGGGCCATCTGGGTCCAAATCGCGATCACCAGGAAGGGGAGATGAGTCTGGCAAGCTACGACAGGAACTGGGCCAATCCTGGACCGCCAGGAGTTGGGCTGGATTGGATTGCGAGCATGAACCATGATGGGTTGCTGGGTTGAGCTTTGACCAATCCAACCGGACTTGTTCGACTGGAACCGAAACGGTTTATATCATTTTGAACCAAACCGGACTTCGACAGCAGCAGAAGTGGAGGACGACCGGGAGCTGGAGGAGGTCACCAGAGGGGTTCCGAATCCCCATACCCACCTCTCGTGACTTTCGGGACAAGACAGGGTGGGATTGGGCGAACCCTGGAGACGGGGCAAGGATCGGAGGTCAAATCTGGAGGGCATGACGACTACATAGAGGGGAACGATGGATGGTCGTTTCTGCAACCTCCATGGGGGGACTCAGGACGCGGCAAACGACAGTAGCGGTGGTTGGGGATTCCCTCACTATGGCATGGGAAGTTACGGAGGGTATAACCCATGCATGAAGGTAATGATGATTTGGTCTTTCAAGTTAAACCGTCTGTGATTGAGTTTCCTAAGTTTGATGGTCATGGAGACGTGGGCTTATGGATGTATGCGGCTGAGAGGTGGTTTTGAAACCACTCAACACGGGAGGAGTGCAAGGCCACTTTGGCATCCTTTTATCTGGAAGGGGATGCACTATAGTGGTGAAAATGGATGGAGCGGTCTTATTCTCCAGTAAGGACTACGATTACATGGGCCAGGTTTTAGGAGGAGCTCAGATACCAGTTCGGCAAGGTCAAAGGGTGGGCACCAGAGTAGTTGGCTAAGCTAAAGCAGAAATGCACGGTGCGGAGTATCGGTCGGAGTTCCTGAAGTTAGGTAACCAGTGTAAGGAAATGGGGGAAGCGGCGTTAGTGGGATTGTGCATGGCAGGGCTGTGACCGGAGCTGGCAGCAACGATCATGGTTTTTGAACCTGACTATTTGCGAGTTGGTTTCAGGCTTGCAGGTCATTAGGAGGAGGAGCTAGCCAGCAAGAAGGGAGGCCTCTGGGTCGTGACGCGAATGAAGGGAGGATCGGGCAGAGGAACGAGTAGAGGCACGAGTTCCGGAGCTGTGACTGCTCCAACATCGGGAACGGCAAACCCGGTGAACACATGATTCCCACTTGGAGGTCGAATCTCGGCTCGCTTGCCGCCCAAGGGATTCGTGAAGCTGACGCCAACAGAGATGGAGCAAAAACACAGGGAGGGGCGTTGTTTCAACTACGATGGGAGGTACATAGCGGGTCACCAGTGTGCTAAGGGGCGTCTGAAGTTGCTAAAGGGGAATTGGGAGGATGAATCAGATGAGCTGACGGCTAGAGGTACCCAGGAAGAGAAGGACGCCGAGAAGAGCGAAGGCCAATCTTGAGGAAAATATTGGTCTTAAGGGGATGGATTGTTAGAAACCCGGTTTCCAGCTATTTTGAGGGGTTTGGACTCATTTGCCGGTTTATGATTGTTTTGAGAACCTCTGGTGTTATTTGTGGGTATTTTC